CACAAATTCATTTATTTATAATTTTAAAATGTTTAGTATAATATATATATATATATATATATATATATATAACTATTATAGAATTATAGAATACACACCACACACACACACACGCACACACACACACACACACGATGAGTTTCAGAACAATATCTGTAAAATAAATGCACATTAGATGTAGAGCACATGCTTTAATTTTTAGCTAAATTATTAACTAGATTTACCATGTGCTTCACACAAAGTGCATAGACTGAACTAGCAGAGACATTTTCTGTGATTGGATAAAAAAGGTGTGGTGCTTCAGCTCTGGGAAATAACCTTACTGATGTCATCTAAGAGGAAGCATTGAATGCAGAATAACGTCTCAAACAAACCTTGAAAGATAATCTGTCAAAATAACACTCACAATCCGCAGCGCCATACTGTCCGTCACAGCGGCTTCAGGACAGCACAGCAGCGGCAGGCCAGCGGTCTCAGACCGGAGGCGGAGGGGAGGGTTGTGGGGTTGGTCAGGCATTCGTTATGGCAGAGTTTATAGTTGTAGTGAAGTAATTTAGGGTTTGTGTTTTATAGTGAAAGAAAAAAGATGAAATACTTAGAAGATCCACATGGTGTCGCCCTCTTCTATATTTCATTGATGTAAACCAGCGACTGTAGCCCCATATTCAGCATAGGACAGATTAAAAATAACAAGAACAACACAGTTGTTACTTTATACTCTCTCTGGCCAGAATCAGAACTGCAAAATGTATAAGGTCTTTCTTTCTTTCTTACTTTCTCAGTACGAACGAGCATAAACTAACAAATAGATACAAGGTGCTCAAAATAGCTTAAATAAACGTATCCGGATATTTTCTTCAAAAAAAAAAAAAAAAAAGGTTCTGATTATGAGGGGAAAGTGTAGCACATTTTGCTTACTTTAAAAAAAAAGATCTGATTATGAAGGGAAAGTCTAGCATATTTTGCATACTTAAAAAAAAAACTCCCAGTGAGAAAGAACGAGGAAGAAAGACATAATTCCCTGCAAATTGACTGAAGTAAATCATACTGTTTGTGTTTAGAAACAACAACAGGTGCAGGCAAATTATAAATGTTAAATTTAAAAGGATAGTTCACCCACAAATAAAAATGTAGTCATTATTTGTACTCACCCTCGCGTTGATCTAAACCCTTATGATTTTTATTTCTTCAGTGAAACACAAACCTTTCAGAAGGATATGATGCAACACTCACTCTCTGTATGAGAGGACAGTCCCATATTTAGGCTAGTATTAAAAACATTTTGAAGTTGCATTCTGATGTAGGCCTTACAAACAGCCAAAACATTTCAATGGTTTTAATGGAATAATCGTCCAAATACAGGGAGAAAACTACAAAATTCGTTTCCCCCTACTTTTCACGAGTATATCTTTGGTGTTTCAGAGGACTGAACACACTAAAGTGAACATTTCCATGCAACATCTTGACGGATGAAAACCCCTTGTTCTCAAATTCAAGTATTAGCCTACTAGCATGACTAGCATGACACTTTCTATTTTACAGCTTCCCCAAAATGAATTTTTGGCTGCTTCTATAGGGACAATTTTTAAGCTATTTTGTCCCCTAAATTACAACCACACACTTCCTGCAGCTGAGTGGTTTAATTACCAGCCAGGCTCTCCAGTCAATGACATCATTGCCTCGGTCCTATCTGCACTGCTGCACACACAGAGGACTTCCTGCTGAATAATGGAGAAACACACACATTCCTAAACACCCACACACACAAACAGGAACTCGGCAACAAAACAGCTCCACTGCCCAGCTCTAATCTTTCCTTTTACGCAATCTGAACGGCAAACTTCCCCCGGCACATGAACTCACACACGTATGAATGTTTAATTGCTGTTCATATTAGCCAAAACTTTTTTAGAGCTAAGATCACCATTTCGGAGTTTCTGTGATGAAATCTTGGGTCATGCACTGTGACTAAAGCCTATTGCAAGCCATTTAATGGGGCCTAAAGAATACACTAGCACTGAGAATAACTCAGACAGACAGTGTCGTTCTGCATTAGCTATGTTTGATTATTTCATCTACAGCTCCGGGCTAGGTTTGATCCCAGCACTGAGGATCTGACGAACGCTGTGGCCCTGTGTTCTCACAAAGCTGCGTAAGAAACTAACTCGTTTAGCTAGGGCTCGAAAAGAACTGTAAAATGCTAATTGCTGAGTTTATTGACCTGACTCATGACAGCAGTTATTACAACATAGGTGTCAATACATCTTTACCTTTACAGCATTGCGAAATATTTCATTGTGCTCTGTGGGTTATAAACTAATAAAATTACAAAACCAAATCGGAGCAATAATTCTCAGGGAATTCTTTGAGTTCACTCAGCTTATTTTAAGAATGGACCACTTTGCTCTCATAGATTTACACAAAGGGAATATTGCTGCTCATCCTAAAAGGTCAGCCAATCATTGCCCTCAGTTTTTAGGGGTAAGGTTCAGATTGGGGCCTAAAACAAACATTGTTTTCAACCAATACCATAGTACTTACAGTAACGAATAACACTTTAAGTTCACATACTGTGATATTTTCATGGTACTTAAATACAATACAATAGCACTATTATGATGTATGTCCAACAATGACAGTATCATATCCAAAACATGGTAGTACCATACTTTACATGTAATATAAGGGTTTATTTAAGATGACCAGTAACAACCATTATAACTGTATCTGCACTTTTAAACTTTTTAAAATATTTGTCACCACTTTTTGGGAAACAAGCATTAATCTGAAAAGAGTTTTAGTAACCGGTCACATAAAAATTACTTTAAGACCATGTTAGTCACCACTTACTGTACTTGCATTTTAGCAAGGACTAGAGTGCATAAGTGCCTGGCAACTTTTTCAGTGGCCTTGGATCCTGGAATAATTTTCCCATAGGTATTTTAAAAAAATCGGATTTTTTTTTTTTTTTAAAGAGTTATAAGCCAAACTAATCCAACCAACTTTAATTTGAAGCAAAACGTGTTTGAAAATCAGACTGAAAGTCAAAGGTACAAGACAGTACCTTAACAGCTTCAACCAGGAAAAAAAAACTACAATACAAGGAGATTTTTGCAGATTCATGAGCAATGTCCTTTTTAATTTTGCACTTAAACATGATTATTTTAAGAATAAGTTGAATTAATGTGGGCGGTTGGCTTCAACAAAATCATATACCATCAATTAATAATATCAGTGCTCAAAGTATGTATGTTTTTTGAAAGTTTAAGTTATTGTTTAAAATCAGTTCCCCTATGGAGAAAATATATGGAATTTCCACTTCCGGATCCCACCCACTGCTCTCCATTGGACAGACATTACGTCACCTGATTAATATTCATGAGCCAAGCTGATAAGATTTATATTGCATTAACCTCACACACTTTTCAGAGTTTAGATGTATGCTTGGCTGATAATATGGTTCATGGTGTTGACAGAAATGTTGTACTTTGGCAAAATCATATTTCGCATGCCCGCTCCCTGCTGTTAGTTGTGTTCAAGCACTGGTTTTAAAAAGAGATTCTTCTCCACAACAAGACGACAAGACAACAAACACTCAAAATCAGGACAGAGACGCAATGCCCCACTAAGATTTTATTATGCAGACATTTTATTCAGATAATGTTCCACTGAGAACATGGAAGAATGAAAGGTAGTCAAAGAAAGAGACAGAAGGAGACAGAAAAGCAGACGGGAATAGACAATGACTGTGTTGTTGTGTTTCGGTATCTGGAGATTTTAAGACTGAAGCTTTTTCTTTGATGTCTGCGATGGAGACACATACATACGCTACGTATCTCATGTACATAGACTAAAAAGTTGCACAAATGCCAGCTAACACCAAACAGACACACAGCTGACAGAGAGGACACAGTATTCAGCAGCAAGTGCCATTTTAGGCTCATTTCAGGCTGCAGTGAACACAGTATATAATTTGAGAGACAAAACAGCCAAACGAGAAGAACATCTAAATGATTACACATTCATCCTCCATTTCCTTCTATTCGCTCCACACACACACATATACACAACCACCAATTAGATGCAGGAGGAAACAGTCAGCGCGGCTGCTTCTATTTGCGTCTTCCTTGAAGAACTCCAGATCCGTGAGGATGAGAGCAGGAGAAGAAAGGAATAGAAAAGCTGATCTCCGCTGTACTGGCACAGAGTATGATGTACGCTGGCATGACAGGCTGGAATCTGGGCCATAGTTACATTCATTGTTCAGAGAGCTGTTACAAAACTAAACCCACCGACAGCAATGAATGTTGATTATGACCTTTGTAGAAATGAACTCATTTATAGAGGTGGGCGTGTCCTGGTTGAAGAGGGCGTGGCCTCAGGGCACAATCAACGGTCGATGGTTTTTCAATGTCAAAAACTCACCGACAGCGTTGAATGTTCAACAAGACCAGCAAGAGGGTGGGAAAGACCAAAATATTTCATTCAGACCTTGTCACTTGGGCTTCTGCGTCCTCAGAACCTTCAAGAAGAACCGTCACTGTGCTGAGCCGAGTGTCTGCTAAAAGATCAAATGAGAATATGAGTGAGGAATTCAAAATTAGAAAAGCTATTTGATTAAAAAGCTAGACACATTAACAAAGAACATTAGCTGTTACTCGAGACAAAAACAAGTGGTGGCTCCAGCATAACTCGTGAAAATAAAATAAAATAAAATAAAATAAAATAAAAGCAACAGAGGCATTTATAATGTTGCAAAATATTTGTTTCAAATAAATGCTGTTCTTTTAAACTTATTCATCAAAGAATCCTGGAAAAAGCATGACAGTTTCCACAAAAATATTACGCTGCACAACTTGTTAACATTGATAATAAGATTTATTACTTGAGCCAAATCAGCTAATTAATAATTATATATTTTTTTTTTTTTGAAGGATCATGTGACATTGAAAACCGGAGTAACGGCTGCTGAAAATTCCTCATCTCAGGAATAAATTACACTTTAAAATATATTAAAATATAAGGCAGTTGTTTTAAATTGTAATGACATTTCACAATATTACAGACAATATTACAGACTATTTATTTATTGATTATTTGTTTGTTGCACCTTGCCCTAATAAAAGCCACCCCTAAAATCTGGACAAGAGTAAGCTTCTGTCAAAAATAATAAATAGAATATAAATGTGCAATCATATTCGTATGGCTCTAAAATCCTAATAAAACTCCAGAGGAACAACTGTTGTAGCGGACCTTCCTACACAAAACCAAAATCCATAGACAAAATGCTCTGCAAGTCAAATAAATCTCATCATAAAAGAATAAAAAGTGATGTTCTGGAAAGCATATAATTGCAGATGGCATTCCTTTATAATTTCATTATTTTCTTTATTTCAAACAAATATTAGTTTACCTCTCTCACACACACACTCTTTCTTTTCAGACAAAAGGCGGTGATCTGATTTGCACTAAAACCAAACTCTTCAACCAAATCGCTCTACCATTTCGAACACAATGCACGATGAATTCACACACACCGCACCACCTCTTCAGACGACCATGGGGGGTGAAAGGGTTTCCTATGGCAACAGTGGTGTGAGGGAGGGATGTGATAATCCAGGGGGATTGTGGGTAGAGTGGATGTGTGTGTACAGGGGTCCCCTGTGAATCCAGATACTCAGCATTACATTATCACGAGACAGAACACATACAGGCTTTATACTACCCCAAATAGTTTATATTGCATCGCCAAAACATTGCTCTGGTGGTGTTCTCATGCAGTATTTGATATTATCAGTTATTTAGCAGGATATTTGTATGAATTTCATACATTTGTGTGATCGGAGAGTACCCAATAATATAGAATATACAGTAGCATGCAAACACATATAATGCAAGCCATGCCATTAAAGTGTTCCATACAACATCATTATCACTCAGGTTGTTCATGAAGATCCTTGCCTTTCTCAGTCTTTTATACCCAGAATACACCTGGTCAGTGTAAAAAATTTGTTTAGATCAATTCATTTTAGTGAATCAATTAGCTTATTCTGTTTAAAAAGATGATTCACCAGTAATTATGTAGTGCTGGATGTCATTTTAGCGAATCAATTAGTGAGCCAAGTTATGGTCCTACAGACAGAAAAAAAATTCTGCCCTATCCAATTCCAATCTTTAGTTTTGTAAACATTTCTAATAGATATGATGCTGGGGTAGATCAATTCATTTTAGTTAATCAATTTGATTATTCTGTTAAAAAAATTATTTACTGATTGCTAAATAGTGCTAAGGTTGTCTGATTCATATAAGTGAGTCGATTAATGACTCAAGTTATGTTTACACAGGTGTTTTGACAGTTTTTGGCCTATCAAATTTAAGTCTATTCTTTTCTCTCTTTTTTTGGTATTTTTAATCAGTATTGTGCTCAGCTCATTTTAGTGAATCAATTTGCTTTTTCGGTTTTAAAATATGATTCACTGATTAATATGTAGTGCTGGAATCCCTGATTCATTTTAGTGGACCAATTAGTGACCCAAGTTCAGAAAAATCATAATTTTTGTCCCATCTAATTAAAATATATTTAGTTTTTAACTACTTTAATAGGGGAAAAACACAAGCAATCTATTTTGTACAAGTCTGATCCAAACCACCTTCCAGAAATCTGAAATACTTCAGAATCTTACATTTTTAATGATTTTTTAAATAATTTTTAAAAGACCCCACTGTATTTGTACAACACACTATCATTAAAAATAGACCATCACTTCAACTCACCCTCAGTCCAATAGCAGTTTGTCCTTTTGCGTGAATCCCCACCTTTACAAAAACATTCCTTATTTGTCCTAAGAGTACTTAGGGTGGTATATGAAGTGGTCCAACTTCACAAAGCGAGAGAGAGAAAGAATGTGCCTTCCTATATACGCATTTGTCTAATATATAGTCCATAATGGCTTTCAGACGTGGTGGTCTGATCTTAACGTGGACTGTGGATGTGGCCTTTTTCAGTGTGTCTCCTTGTGGTCTTCCACAGAATTTGGGGGGAAGTGGGGGGTTGGGAGGGGGCCCCGTTTTAGCTCTTAAAATACCCTGCATCAAGCTGTGGTCGGGCAGCTCGTCTATCAGCGCTGATTACACATCGCTGCCGCTGCGGTCAGGAGGCAATCAGGAACACGTTCACCCCTGATGTGTCTCACAATGCTTCCGTCCTCTACAGCCACCTGTGGTTTCCACTGCTGTGGACGTGTCTTTAGTGTGAGAGAGGAAAGCTAGATGATGTCCTAGGATTTCCTCTTTGCTACAAAATATGACTTCATGCCAGAGCTGAAGAGAACTAATCAAAGTAAACAAAAGTGAAATGAAGAGTAATTAAAGGGAAATGAATAGAAATAGAAACTAAATAGAACTTGAGTAACTACATTTTCAGTAGCGGGACAGTAATTAAACTTTTCAAAAGAGTGAAGCTTTTCACAGTAACAAGCTACTTTTTCTAACTCTCTCTATCAATTAATTGTGGTGAATCACTTTGTTTGTTCGGTTTTAAAAGATGATTCACTGATTGATAAATACTGGGAAGTCCAGGTCTTTAATTGATTTGTTAGTTCCGTTTAAACAAATAACTCATTAATAGATGTTATGCAAGGGAGATCAATTCCTTTTACTGAATCAGTTTGTTTTGTTGTAAAAAATGGTTCAGTGAGTGATAGTGCTGGGAAGCCTGATTCATTTTAACAAATCGATTTGTCTGTTCAGTTCAAACAAAGGATTCACTGATAGATGCTGTGCTGCGGTAGATCAATTCATTTTAGTGAATCACTTTATTCCGTTTTAAAACATGATTCACTGATTGATAAGTAGTTCTGGGATGTCGGATTCATTTTAATGAATTGATTTGTTTGTTCAGTTCAAGCAAATGATTCACTGATAGATGTTGTGATAGAACTCAATTTGTTTGTTCTATTTAACAAAGAAACGATTGGTTTGTGTTCAGTTGTTCAAATTATTTATTGTTTGTTCTAATTGGTTTGTTCAAATGAATCACTCATTTTATTAGCTTTTTTTGGTGGAATTTATTGTAAATTTACCTTTTCAAGGTTACATTTCATCAGTCATTATACAAAAATATTTTACGACAGAATGTCACGACTGACCAATCAGAATCAAGTATTCCATTGTGATGGCATCTCTCTTGCCTTCGCAAGAATTCTTGCATCTGAGCTTCAGCCTCTTTGTGAAAGATCACTGAAGACAAGGCACTCGTTTGAAGCTGCACGGCTGTTTCGGCGAGATGCGCCGCTGGACAATGACGGAATGCCAGACTGTCTGATGAGATGAAAGAGAAGCTTCCCTGAGTTTCCACAGCGATACGATCTCACAGTGCCGCAGGTGCCATGAGGTTCAACTTTTAAGCTGGAACTGAGGTAGGGGGATGGAAAACCAGTTAACCTAATCAGCCCTTGATAGGAAACAACGAAAAGAGCAGGAAGACAGCTCAAACGAAGAGAATTAATTGTATGAATTGCTGTACCTCTTGGAAACAATATATATATTTTTTTTACAAATCTATATACTATAAGTAATATTTCAGTAATATTAATTCTATATCATATCCTAAGTAATATTACAATGCTGATTGGTCAATCAAGGCACTGAGCAGTCAAATATTTTTGTATAATGACTGCTAGTCTATATATCTCAGTTTAGCATTCATTATCCCAAAATGAACTCTTTCAAGCTAATACAAAAACATTTTGTATTGCTTTGGAATTATGACAAACTTTTTAGGGTTTATTTTGACATAATGAAAGCTGAATTTTCATCAGCCATTACTCCAGTCTTCAGTGTCATGTGATCCTTCAGAAATCATTCTAATATGCTGATTGGGTGTTTAATGGTGTTCAAACAGTTGTGCTGCTTAATGTTTGTGGAAACCAGGATGCATTTTTTTTCAGGATTCTTTGAATGGAAAGTTCAAAAGAACAGCATTTATTTAAAATGGAAAGAGTTTTGTAGCATTATGAATGCTGTTACTATCACTTTCAGTCATTAAAAGTATTTAATTTCTTTAAAAAGAACACATTTGAATGCTAGTGTGACCGTTTCAGGGGCTTCTAATCACAGGTGTGCCAGCTAGACAGTAAAATGTGTCATATTGTCAAATTCTAGGCATTTAACTTTGAGGAAAACAGTTCAAGTGCTCAGGTTATCCGAGTTCATTGCCTCTGAAGCTTGTTTTAGTTTGTAGCACAAAAAGGTAAACCCCAGTTTAACCTTTGACTCCTAAACCTTTAGGAATGCAGCCCCAAGTCGCTGGTTACATTGTTCCAATAACCGCAATAGGAAAGAGTGTATATGCATGCATTAGAGGCATTTAGAGTGCTGTCAGGCTTTGAGTGAGTTTGGCTCTGCTATCAGCCCAAAGGCTTTCTACGGGTCACCTGCTACAGACCTGAACTCAGAGACCATCTGGGACTTTGACTCTCTCCCCCCCAGCAGACACACACACCCAAACACTGATTTACACGCACACAGCTGTTTTCTACACTGCAGACAAAAGGATGTTTGTCGGACATGCCTATGCACAATGTTTCCTATTGTAAAAATCAGTGGCTGGACAACCCACAACCCATTCGATCTCTGGCAAATCACCACTCAGACACTCAGTTTCCTGTTGATCACCACAGAGTTCATTCAAAACCCTCACACAACAACACAGAGAGACAAGAGAGAGAAGTGAGAGGCAGACTAGTGACTAGTACATTTACAAACTACCAACTAAACTACAAGGACTACTATAAGGCTTATTTGTAAGTCACTGGATAAAAAAAACATCTGCTCACTTAAAGGTAGGGTAGATGATTTCAGAGAGGCTAGCAAGAGCAAGCTAGCTCTGAAACCACCCTCCCTGAAAATCACTCTCCAAAGCCACGCCTCCTCTAAAACACATGAACGCACTCAGGCAGACCAGAGGCTAACAAGTGAAACAATGAGAGACGGTGTTGGTGGAGAGTTGAATGCAATGCTGTCAGATTACCTCATGTCTCATTCACTGGTGAGAAAACATTACAGTACAAAGAGCATAATATTACAATACTAACACAACACCTTCCTTTAATCATTTGGTCTGTAAACGCGCAATGGAACATGCGGATGACATATCATGTCTACACAAACAAGATGTGCGAAGGTATGCAAATACATACGTTGTCAGGCAGGTAGGAAAGCCTATCGTAGTCCTCGTACCGAGGGATATGATTGGACAAACATTTTATGGTCCTACACCTTCGACAGATGATATAAATACATATAAATACATTTAGACCACTTAACTTAGTGACTGCTATCGGGATGTAAAGAGACTTTCAACCAACATAACAAAAATGTTTTTGAACCAAATCACCTAGCCTGCTTTTAATAAATGTAACCATGCAAAGAGTTAATTTCTACAATCAATCAAACATCCTCAACTTAAAGCAACTGTATTTAGGTTTTTATGTTGAAACATCAGTTTCAAAATCATTCTGGTGCTACACTGACTTCTACTAAGGTGAATGGCTTCTGTTTCTTTCCCAAGCTACCCTCAATCTTCTGTTCTTAGAGTAAAAAAAAAATTGCTGAGCAGGTACGAAATTCCATGAAAAGAGGAAATAGCTTTACAGCAGCGACGAATGCATGTGTAAAGCTATCCAATATAATACTGTATATTTATGACAGTGAATTCCACTCACTTAACTGTAGGTGGTCGCAAAGATACAAAAAAAACTAATATTAATAATAATAAGAAATATTTCATATTATAGTACATGTAAGTGATTGGAAAGTATGGACCTTTTTTCTTCTTTTTGTACCCAAAACTGAGAAATGATAGCATTTTGAAATAGCATACACAAAACAACCAAAAGGCTAAGTAAGAATTTTTTTTTTAAGTTTTTAAATTCATTTATCAAAAAAAAAAAAAAAAACTGTCTTCAGTGTCACATGATCCTTCAGAAATTATTCTAATATGCTGATTTTCTGCTCAAAACACATTTTTTATTATTATCAATTTCAAAAGCAGATGTTCTGCTTAATATTTTTCTGGCAACCATTTTTTAAAGAATGTTTTTTTCTCAGGATTTTTTTAAAGAATAGAAAGTTCAAAAGAACACCATTTATTTAAAATAAAACTTAAGTAACATCATAAATGTCTTTACTGTCACATATGATCAATTTAATGCATCCTTGCTGAATAAAAGTATTAACTTAAAAAATAATGTTTTATAGCTCTCCTTGAATACAACCACCAATTAAAAAAAAACATTAACCAATGAAAACCACAAAACAGTTAAGCAACCCCACTTTAAAACCAACTACCAATCTGAAAGCACCAATTAAACAGCCCCACCTAAAAACATCAATCAATCAAACAGCCCAAATGTAAAACCGTTAGACTTAAGACACATCAAAACGCTGCCCCTTCCTTTCACCCTGAATGCCCCTTTTTCTAAAGCCTGTAGGAGTGGCAGGATTCCAGAGTACAGTGAGACTGTTTATGCCACGGATCACAGCAGACAGACATAAAGCTTTCACTCTGCCTCCCTCACATAGTGCAAACTACATTAAAAGGGCATAAATCTGTGGGAATGGACATGCAAGAATGTGTATGAGCATATTAAAGAAAATAAACCTGATGTCAGTCAAAGAAACCAAAGCCCTTCAGATGTGATGATGTCTCCGTGTGTGTTGAGAGAACAGCTTCTACCTTGCTTTTTTGGTATAGAAATGGTTTTCATCGTTCCCTCTTCTCTCATTTTTGATTCACGGCTTATTAGAGGCTGTTCCACTGAAGTAACTTACACATGGAAAGCCATTATATAGTCATTTTTAAATAAAGTTATGATCAAGGTTTGCGGGAGGATGTATGGAGCCCTTATATGCAACATAGCTTCGTTTTTCTTGGAACACGCAAACTCCAATAAATCCCTTATATGAAGGGCCGGGAGCCAAAACCCAGTCATTTATGTAAAATATATCTACAGAATGTCAGCTTTTGGAAAGTCCATCATTTTACTGTTTTTCTTATTCAACACTGTAGTATTTTATCCTCACAGCTCTTACTTGGAGGTCCAATTAGGACAAGATGTGCGTGCGTTGGAGTTCTTGAAGGCCGACAGTTTATTTCTGTTCCTGCGTCGCAACGCATTTTTGCCAACTCAGCCAAACCCCTGCAGCTTCTGGAGACAGAGCGTGGGTGAGAGGGAGAGCGCAAACCCACAGTCAAACTTCAACGGCTTCTACTGTCCTGCACAGCCTCTGAAAAACACACAAAAGTCACACTCTTACATGATCATGCTCGAACTTCTTGGCCCCCGAGCAGCTGAAACACAGTAAAAGGAAAATCACATGTCATCCCCGCCAGACAATATGGTCATTAAAGAGAAAGTGCACAGCTATGGTTGGCTTAAACAAAAGGACGGGGACAGACCATCGGGCACCAGAGCCACATCCACAAAAGATGAAGCCCTGGATTACAGAGTACTGCAGAAAACCATATGACTGATACAAGACAGCCTGGCCTGAAAGAACCTCGTAAAACATACACTCATAATTAGGGCTGTGCAAAAAATAAAAATAAAAAAACATCTTGATATTTTTAAATCTCATGATATTCAAAATATATCTCTGTATATTTATAAATTTGTTGTTTATGACCTTTTTTAACCCTATAAGCCAAATAAATTCAATATATATATATATATATATATATATATAAAAAAAAAAAAAAAAAAAAAAAA